GGGTTTGAACAACGCCGAGCACCATCGGGGGCCCTGGCCTATGACTCCAGCGCTTCTGCAGCCGGTAATAACAGCACCACGCCGGCCCAGTGTCACTTTAAGTGGGATAGGCCACCGCTGTGTGTACACATGGCTGGCTCACCGGATTCCTGCCTCCTTTGTCAGAGAGAGGGGCTTTACACAGTAGCTTCCGTCTCCTTCTCCTCCTCGGACCCGCCCGCTCTGTACACAGTCTGCCTCCCAAGACTTCGGTCGCTTGGCTACTGATCAACTCTTACATTTGGCCACTTCAGGAGAACTGCAAAGGGCCCGGGTTGTTTCTCGAGCAGCTGGTAGATGTTAGCGAGGGGGCTGCTGGGGAAGGTGTAGCTAGCAAGGCTGTTGGCGCCCATGGCAACGGGGAACAACAGCGGCTGCAGGAGATGAGGTACCTCTTTAATTATTTATTCCCCCACCCCCAAACGCCACTAAAAGTCAGGCCTGGGAGGGAGAGATAACAGCGCTGCCAAGGGTATCTGGAGTTGGCTGGTGTAGGGAGTGTTACCTAATGGTTAGAGCCGGTGACTCCGTGGTCTTGCTCTGTGTGGTTACGTCACTTCACTCTTCTCTTTCCCAATCTTTAATGGTCGTATTAACGCTTCCCTGGGATGGCAGTGAAGCTTAATTAAATGACTGTCCGTTAGCCGCTCTGAGAACTGCTGGGTGGTACTGCAGGGCAGAGCCATACGAAGAGAAACGGAAGAGAAGGACAGTTGTTGAAATTCCTTCACCTCTTTACAGAGCCCGGCTGGCTTGCCCCAAACGCGGGCAGAAGTTTAAATGTGTGTGTATTGGGAATAGCCCTTGTGCAGCTCTGCTCCGCTTTGGGATGCCCTCTGCACAGGGGATATTCCGCGTACTTCAAGGCCAGGATGGCATAAAGGGGCCTCAGTGTAACAGAACCAGACCTAAGCACGCTGCCTTGCCCCAGTGTAGACAAGATAATGGCACAGTGAAGCACTGCGCACCGGATTGCTCTGCTCCTGTCAGGCTCTGGCATGACACGCTGCTCTCCAGCAGACCCAGGTTAGGCCCTCGGGTGGCGAGGCGTTCCTGCCAGACTTGCTTTCCACCGCGCTGGCAGGGAAATGGTGGAACAGCTGAGTTCCAGGGCAGCCAGGGAGCATCTCGACCCACACCACATTCATCTCTGGTTTCCCAACCAGCTGGACAGATGCCGCTCCCGCTGTCTAACGCGCCCTCTGAGCAGAGAACTTTCGCACCAGAGGAAACTTTTGACGGCAAGTTATAAATCCAGGCAAAACGGAGGGGGGTTGAGGGGGCTTCGACGGGTATGTGAACGCGGCCCTAACAAGCGCTAGGAGGAGGAGGTGCCTGCCTGCTCTCAGCGCCTCTTTCCACATGCTGTAGGCTCTCTCTCCACGCTGACCCATAAATTATTCAAGTGCCTTTGTGCTGCTCTATGAAATATTCATCCCGCCATCAAGGGAGCGGTGGGTGGGTGTTCGGCGGGAGAAGGGGAACGGCTGACAGTTGCTCCGGTAATTGAGACCAGCATCGTCAGGAGTGGAAGCAGTGCAGGTGTGCAGCGTCTGGAAGAAATGGGGGGGGGAAGAGAAGTGAGGGGCAGAGTGGGAAATAATCAATCATCACCTCCGCTCCCTTCCCAGCTTGTGGAATGGAAGGGGGCCGGACTCAGGCTCCGAAGCCCGCTCCCCGCGGAGCCGTGCTGATAGCAGAGGCCCCTGGGAGGACAACATTGCCGGAGTTGGATGCAGCGCTGCAGATTGGCTCCCTGCACACACCTGTATGTGTCAGTTTTGCCTAATCCCTTTCAAATGTCACCAGTCTCCGCTGGGTGCTGGCAGGATGACAGTGTTTTCAGATTCACGAAGCACCCATTTTCTGATTCGTCGCAGGGGGTTGCTTTTAAACAATCGGGGCCTGATTCGGCCCTCGCTTCCGCTGGTAGCTGCGGGAGTTATTCCTGATGTGCACCACTCTTGGGGAGGAGATCAGGCTTTGTCTCTGTTACATGTACCCACAGAGGAAGGCTTGTGTCAGCATCTCAGGAGCAGGCGGGACTGGGGGAACCATGAAGCTGTCACCGGATGTGCAGAGGTTACCATGTGCCATGTTTACGGGTGAACGGAAATGTTCGTATGCCATTGCGGTCCTGTGGTGCGCGTCCTCCCCAATGAAAGGGTTAAAACTCAGACCTGGTCTAAGTGGCTGCCACACTGCGGAGGTCAAGGGAGGCTCTTACTCCCGGGCCAGGCCCTGTGTGTTTGATCAGCCAGGGAAAGTGGATTCTGATGCTATGCGGTTTCTAGCTTAGTGTTCCGTTGGCCAGGTTGCGGCTGTCACTTGATATCTGGGGGTGGCATTTGGTGATGCTCTCTCCGCTGCACGCCCTTCAGTTAAGCTCTTATTAAAACTCAGTTTGTTTTTTCCGCCCTGAGAGTTGCCCTCGCTGCAGAGCGGCAAAACTCACTCTGCGTCAGGTGCCAACTTCGCATGTGCAAAGGAACGAGTTTGTAATTGCCCTGTGTTCAGAGCCCCTTTGTGAGAGCTGGGGAGGGGCTCTCCGTGGTTTGGGGCCGAGAGGAACAGGTACAGAAAGGATTCTGTGGGTGAACAGTGTTCACTGGATTTATCTTTGCCCACAGCTGGGTGTATCCGCTGGCTTCCCCCTACTTCCCATGGATAGTTCGAGCTTCTTGTTCTTCCCTTTAAGGCTTTGCATGAAGCCACTTCTGCTTATCTCCCCGCTGAGGTCTCTGGCTACTCCCTGTTGCTCTGATGATGAATCCGCCTGACCAACCCCCTTCTCCCACCCTGGTCTTTGTGCCTACTTCTATGGCCACGCCTGAGGCGTGGATTGCTCCAGGTGCCTGGCCCTTCCTCATTCCAATCCCTCCTATCGCCAGGCCCATCAGCGCTCACGTCTGGCAGTAAAACCCACTGAATCAAAGCCAAAGACATGCTTCAATGCAGGGTCATGCTGGTGGATCAGCATCAGCCGAACAGATAACACGGCTCATGCCATCCAGCGAGGCCAGGAAAGCAGCTCACTGCTCTGCTGTCGGTAGCAGTGGCGGCATCCTCGACGGGGAGAGAAACTGAATCCTGAATTTGGGCACAGCAGATTAAAACATGTACCTTGGAAGATCTATCTGTATATTAAGGTACTTGCTTGGTCCTCATCACCATAGTATTTGAGCACCTCACCATCTTTATTTATCCTCACAACACCCCTGGGAGGTAGGGAATTGCTATTTCCCATTGTGCATATGGAGAAACTGAGGCACGGCAGTGCTTGCAGCATGGGTAGGCATCTTGAGCTAGCTGGATAAAGATAGCAGTGCAGCTGCCCAAGTACAGTCCCACCCAGGACCCTAGATATTGTCCCACAGAGCCAGGTTGCAATATCCACACAGACCAAGACCATGGAGTCACCGGCTCTAACCATTAGGTAACACTCCCTACATCAGCCCTAGCCCTGGCCCCTCTGCACCCAGGCCTTTGACCCATCTACATCCTTCCTGCGACCTCTTGGTGAGTCGTGACCCACTGCTTGGGAAGCAACCCTGTCCAAAGTGACTTGGCCACAGACTTTCTGCGTGACCTTGGGCAAGCGGAGAATTGAACTTCAGTCTTCTGCATCCTAGGAGTGCAACCTAGCCACTAGCCATCCTTCCTCATGGTCACGTTGAAGTGTCAAGGCTCCCAAGTGCAGGAGAGAGCTCTGAGAGAACTTCAGGTGTCTGGAAGAGACGGGAAAGCAGAGACGGCTGCAGTCTTGGACGCTGCATCTTCAGCCCCTTGCCCGTCACCCCATCCTTCCTCTCGACAGATGCGGAGCCTTGCTCCATTTCCCACCGTCGTGTCACAGAGCGAACTGCACTTTCAGAGGCTGTTGGGGCTTTTTTTAGAGGTGTTTTCAAACTCCAGCAGAGCTGGAAGCGTGAGTGACAGGAAGGAAATCTAACTTGTGCTGGGGCAAAACTGCCTCTTCCTCTGTCGGCTGATAAAGCAGCGCCGCGGTGAACAATGGAACGAGGAGGAGGCTTTGCCTGACGGGCTCGTCTGAGCCGGAAAATGTCTCATTCGAGGGAAATCTCCAGTCACTCGTTAAACGGTAGCGTCTGCCCAATGGGAAGTGAGCCATGCTTCGGGGGGCGGGGGAGCATGTTGAGAGGATAGTAACAGATTAGCAGGAGAGAGGGGTTCGGCACGGAGGGAAGGCATATGAATTAATTCATTCATTCCCCAAGTCCGGGGTGATGCTGCCAAGTCCCATTTAGAGCCCCCTGGCATGGAGTGATCCTTAGAACTGGATGAACCAGGAGCAGCACGGCTCTCTGGAGAGATTAGACTGGCACTGGAGAGACCTGAATTCCTGGCTCTGCAGCCAGCCGGCGGGGTGACCTGAGGCAGATTGCGCCCTGAGACGCAAGGGAAATGAGCAACAGAAATGAGAAGAGGTTTGGAAAATGTGACCTGTGAGGAAAGGTTGAAAAACTGGGCCTGTTTGCCAGGGCCACCAAGAGCGGGTTCGGGCCCCAGTGAACATTTTTTTTCGGCCCCCCAGCAAGGGTGGACCAGCTAAACAGGACCGACGAGGGGGGCGGAGAAGCCGGGCCTGGAATTTTTTCAGGCTCCCCAGCAAGGGCAGACCGGCTAAGCGGGGCCGACGAGAGGTGGGGGAAGATGGGCCCCCTTCCGGCCACCGGGCCCCGGTAATTTGTACTGGCTTCCCCCCCCATCCCCCCTTGTCGGCCCTGCTGTTCGCTCTAGGGAAGAGAAGGCCGGGGACGGACGGACATGGTTAATATGTAAAAGGTTGCTATAGAGAGGACGGTGACCAATTGTCCTCTGTGTCCACTGAGGGTAGGACAAGAGGGTGTCACCTTAGTTTGCAGCAGGAGAGACAGGTTGGATATGAAGGTAAACTTCTAACTCCGAGGGTTGTTAAGCTCTGGAACAGGTGACCTAGAGGGGTGGTGGAAGTGTTTAAGAAGAGCTTGGACTAATAACCCCTGTCAGGGATGGTCTAGGTTTACTTGGTCCTGGCTCAGCGTGGAGGGGCTGGACTAGATGACTTCTCAAGGGCCCTTCCAGCCCTCCATTGTAACGATTCCATTCCTCCCCGTCTAAAGTGCTTTGAGATCTGTGGCTGAACAGAGCTATGTAAGAGCCAGGCATTGTTAAATTAATAATGCGAGGGAGTGTTGTGTGGTGTCTGTTACCATGGTTGCTTACAGGGCTGTATGGGTGTTGCAGGCTCTTTAGAGAAGGTTCCCTTTGCTGGGCATTTCCTTGTTTTTAAAGGATTGTGTGGGTGGACGTTGTACTTGGTCAACCTCAGCTGACAAAGGTTTGGGGTGTGGGAATTTCTATTTATACGGGTGCCTTTCATGATCCCAAGGCGCTTTGAGAACTGCAGGCACACAGCAGCATTGAAATGCAGCCACCTCTGGGGTGAAGCCACCGGCAGGACGGATAAGACATCAACAGGTTGGAAGGAGCAGAAATTTTGGGCGAGGACAGGGAGGCAAAGCCTTACTCTGCCAGAAAAGACCCTGGGAAGTGTAATGTCTGTGCAGAGCAGAGAGGATCACAGCTGGTAAGGTCGCATGCTCTAAAATGTGCCAGATTCATTTTCTCTTCTGTCACTTGTGTTCTGCAGCCTGTGCTCTGCAGGAAGTCAAGCTAGATTATCAAAATGGTCCCTTTCAGAGCTCAGCGTCAGTTTGCTCTGAAAGGACAAATGGATAAGTCAGCCCCATGTCTTTTAGGCCAAGGCCTTGAGCTGTGACCAAGGATTTTGGAAGCCCCAGTTTTTTGGGGGTGCTCGGTTTGAGACACCATAAAGGGGCCTGATTTTTCCAAAGTTCTGGGCACTTCCAGCTCCAGAGAAAGTCAGTGGGAGCTGGGGATGCCCAGCGTGCCTCAAATTATTCCTCTCCCAAACCGGGGACTGCTCTGGAAAACTAGGGCCGTACGGTTTCTGGGTCTCAGTTCTGCCATCTGTGAAATGGGGATCAGGCCAGCGTAAGGCGGCTTCCACCATAGAGAAATAGCTGCCTAGCCAACCTTCTCCCCACTGCCATCTCTCCTAAGGCAGGCGCTCCGAGCTGTCACGTCACTACGCTTGCTCGCCCAACATGGGTCGTCGGTCTTTGGAAAGATCCCTAGATGAAAAGACACTGGCAGACAGCGGAGCTGCCCTACCAGTGCCACAGCCACAGCAAAGCTAACTGCAGCCTCCCACGAGCAGGGGAAGTTAACTTTCTGAAATGCAGGTGCTAAATCATAGCCCCCGTACTGCCGCCCACGCCCCTGATCGAGCGGCTCGGTTTCTCTCCCCCTTGCTTTCTCCTCTCTCGCAAGCGGCCTCTCTCGATACCAACTTATCTCTCGTCTGCCTGTCGGGCAGAAAACAAGCCTGTCCTGTTAGGAGGATGCCTGCAGCTTCAGCATTGCAGGCTGTATTTTTTCCATTTCTTTATTAGTAAAGAGAGAGCCCTCAGCTCCCGACTCACGCTGTTAAAATCAATGTTTTCACATAAAAGGAAATACTTGCAAACCTTTGTGTTTCCAAAGGGCTGTAAATAACGCGGCGTGGAACATCTTGCAACAGTACCAGTTTTGACTGCTCTATTACTGCTCACTTAATTTATACCCTCCTTAAGCCTGGGCCAGCCTTTCCGTGAATGCCCCCTATTTGCAGGGGTTTAGAACTTGCAATGGAAAATTCCCGGCGGGCTGGAGCTCGGTGCGCTGGCTCCCACCGGCACCTTTGTCATCCGACCTGAGGCAGCTCTCCTGCTTAGCTGTATTGCTACCAGTTGAGGAACTGATTCAGAGTCACCAGTTCTATTAGTTGGACTGTTGTTCCAATGTAAACCCTAGGATGACAATGATCTTGTACCAGCAGATCGAGGGACGTGATCATTCCCCTCTATTCGGCAGTGGTGAGGCCTCATCTGGAGTACTGGGTCCAGTTTTGGGCCCCACACTACAAGAAGGATGTGGAAAAATTGGAAAGAGTCCAGCGGAGGGCAACAAAAATGTTTAGGGGGCTGGAGCCACATGACTTATGAGGAGAGGCTGAGGGAGCTGGGATTATTTAGTCTGCAAAAGAGAAGAATGGGCGGGGCGGAGGGGGGATTTGGTAGCAGCCTTCAACTACTTGAAAGGGGGTTCCAAAGAGGATGGATCTAGATTGTTCTCAGTGGTGGCAGATGACAGAACAAGGAGTAATGGTCTCAAGTTGCAGGGGGGGGAGGTCTAGGTTGGATATTAGGAAACACTATTTCACTAGGAGGCTGGTGAAGCACTGGAATGGGTTCCCTATGGAGGTGGTGGAATCTCCTTCCTTAGAGGTTTTTAAGGTCAGGCTTGACAAAGCCCTGGCTGGGATGATTTAGTTAGGGATTGGTCCTGCTTTGAGCAGGGGGTTGGACTAGATGGAGTTCCAACCCTGATATTCTATGAATGGTCTAAAGCACCTTCCACTGGATGATCTCAAAGCGCTTTATAAACCTGAGCTCACTATCTTCCCCTCATGTCAAGTAGGTAAGTATTTAGTCCCAATTTACAGATGAAGAAACCGAGGCATGTTGAAATGAAGTGACTGGCCCCTGGTCACCCAAGGAATGTACGGCAGAGCTAGGAATGGAATCACGGTCCTCCTAACTCCATATTCAGTGCTTTAACCACTAGACTATGCTCCCTCCTTTAATCACAATCTCTGTTATTGTGCTACAAACAGCAGTATGCCCCATGTAGAGGTCACAGGACTAGGAAGCAGGAGACCTGGTTTCAATTCCTACCACGCACCTTGTGCCACTCTGCCTCAGTTTCCCCATCTGTAAAATTGGGATAATGATACTGCCCTCCTTTATAAAGGGTTTGGCGATCCACAGTTTAGAGTTAGGATTTATAATCCATAGCACCTGTGTCCTCATTCCCTGCCCCTGTTTGAATGACTCCATTTCCACCGACCAGTAAAGCCATCTTAACCCCAGTTTTGATGTTACTCAAAACATTTGAGAGGTGCGTTTTCAGCAAGGGCTAGTGATTCTGGGGGCCACCTGGAGACCCCTTAAAGGGGCCTGACTTTCAGAGAGCAAGTGCCGAAAGCTTAAAGTACAAATATTAAAGAGCATGTTTCCGGAGGGTAAAGGTTTGAAACTGGGTTATTTAGGAAAGGGAGACACTGAAAATGCTTCAGAGCAATCGACTTATTAATGGCTTCACCCCAGTGGCCTGGATTACCTTCCCATCCCATATGATCTGTATTATCATAGTGCCTGGGGAGTGCTTCTCATTGACCAGGACTCATTTGTGCTAGGAGCTGTACAAACATATACAGCCTCTTATGTGGTGTGCCTCATATACACGCAATGGCTGAGCCCGCTGAGGCCAAAGCCCCAGAATGACTTCCCTCTCAGCAGAGCTTCCCCAAAGCCAGTGCTGTAATTTTTGTCCATCAGGTCAACGCAGTGAAACACATTTTTATTTATTGTGTTACAACAGCAGCTAGACCCTCCAACCAAGATCAAGGCCCCATTGTGCTAGGTGCTGTAGTGGCAGTCTCTGTCTCTTACAGAGTCTTAGTCTCTTACAACCTAAACAGACAAGGGGTGGGCAAAAGGAAGGATTGTTACCCATATTTGACCAATGGGGAAACTGAGGCACTGAGCAAGTCAATGACTTGCCCGCGGTCACAGAGCTGGGACTTAAACACAGATCTCTTGAGCCAATGAAAGCGCCAAACCAAATTTGTTCAAATTCAGCGTAAACAGGTCCCACCGTATGCAAACAGTTGCATCACCAACCTGCTTCTCTTTCCCAGCTGTCCTAACATGAGAGCTTGTAGTTATCCTGGTCTGCAGTGTGTTGCTGTTCCAGGCAGGATGAAGCCCAGCACCTGTGTTGCTTCATTCACTTGTTTCGGTCTCTAACACAATCACTGGCTAAGTGGCTCGGTTTGTGTGCTTGAGTCCTAGGCAGGTCTTGTCTGTCTCTAGGTCTTTCTCTTGCCTGAATTGCTGCATTCATCTGTGTGCAGCTTTCAGCTAAGCTGATAACCTTGCTTATGAGCGCCTCACTTCTTTCTTCCTTGGCGGGTTTGCAGGAATCAAATTCCCCTCACGCAGCGCCGGTGGGGCGCGGCAGGAGAATCGGTCCCTGAGTAATGGTGAGCGCAGGTTATCATCCAGCCAGGAAACTGAATGGGTTCCAGAATCCAAACTCTGGCATAGCAGGGAGCCGGAGAAATAGAGTGCTTTGATGTACTTTGACAAACACAAAAGGAAACCAGCAGGAGTGCTGCTCTCTGGCAGGTTGCAGGGACTGAACAAAATTATATCCGCAAACGTGGCTTATAATGCTATCCGCTCTCTGGGTGCGAGCTGTGCTGTGCTAAAGGGCCGCTCACCTGCCACACGACCAACAAATGGCACGTGGGTCTCCCCCTCAAAGAAACGAGCCAGATTTTAAGGCGGGCACGTTAAAATGGGTGCTAAGTCTTATTCTGCGTAGGTAGCAATACAGATCCCAGGTGGGAAGGCAGTAATGTAGGTCTAATGGGCCTTTCCAATGTACGCAGTGCATCGACCTTCCTTTGATGTTTAGGGGATTTTATTCCACAGTAGTACCTAGCCACTAAATTACACCTGTTCTCAGAAAAGGGGAAAGAACCCAGGAGTCTTGGGTCCTAGTCTCCTACTCTGTAAACCACGTGCCCTCCTAAAGCGGAGTACAGACCCCAGGCGTCCTGATGCTCAGTTCCTGACTGTTCTGCCCACTAGACCCTCCTCCTATCCCAAAACTGGAATAAAATGCAGGAGGCCAGATTCCCACCTTCCTCTGCTCTTAGCCCAAGATGCTTTTGTGTGTGTGCACACCTGGGCCAGGAGGGGAGGGATCATTACTCCAGGGCAAGGGTTGAATCACATGGTCCTGTTTTGTTTTTTTTTCCCTCCCTTCCAGAGAAGATGGACACCTTCAGCACCAAGAACTTGGTTCTGCAAGCTCAGAAAAAGCTGCTGAGCAAGATGGCCTCCAAGACCATGGCGAACATCTTCATTGATGACACCAGCAGCGAGGTTCTGGACGAGCTGTACCGGGTCACCAAGGAATTCACCCACAACCGCAAGGAGGCCCAGAAGATCATCAAGAACCTGATCAAGATCGTCATGAAGTTGGGGGTACTGTACCGCAATCGGCAGTTCAGCGCCGATGAGCTGCGGCTGATGGAGCACTTCCGCAAGAAAGTGCACACCCTGGCTATGACCGCCGTCAGCTTCTACCAGATAGACTTCACCTTTGACCGCAGGGTCATGTCCAGCGTGCTGAACGAGTGCCGCGACCTGCTCCACCAGGCCGTCAACACCCACCTGACGGCCAAGTCCCACTCCAGGATCAATCACGTCTTCAACCACTTTGCGGACTACGAGTTCCTGTCGGCGCTGTATGGACCTTCTGAACCCTACCGCACCCACCTGCAGAGGATCTGCGAAGGGGTCAACAAAATGCTGGATGAGGACAACATATGAACCAGCAAAGACAAGGCCTGAGAGCAAATGTTTGGCTCTTTGCCGGACTCTCCAGGCTGCATTCTGGTAGCCGTGAATTCAACGGCAAGACGTCTGTTGTTCTCAGTGGGGTCAGGCCTTCTCGCTCGCTCTTTCTCCACGTTGCGAAACGTCTTGCTCTTTCCTTTTTTTCTCATGAAGACCAAGGACCCTTCACTTTCTGTCTAAATGAGGTTGCAAGCTGCTGCTGGTCTTAGTAGCCGGAATCTCTTCACCTCACTTTAGCTCCCTAATGAAATTAAAATGAGACAAAGCAGCTTCCGTCTCTACCCTACTGGGGCACAACCACACCGAAGGCGGGGTTGTTTGTATGAGTGAAACTGGAGAAAATGCTCTTTTTTGCACTGGCTTGAGATCTCCGCTTTGGAACCCAATCCAGTGTCTATAACCCATCAGAGGCCAAGCCCCACAGCCCATACACACTGTATGTGAGCTCTCTGTTTAAAGGTCCTTGGTCTCACTGTATATATTTTTATCCACCAAGTGCTCTTAAACCCACAATTCAGAGTCCAAGGTGTCCTGCTGTAGCAAAACCTCTCTCACTTCTAAATCTATTTTCATTCGGGTGAGGGGGGAAACCCACTACGTCTTGTGTGTATTTTTTTTTTTCTTGGTTAAGATTAATTCAAGCAGAGAGCATGGAGGAGTGGTTCAGGTGTCCTGCCACTGCCAAGATATAAGGCTGTCTATCCTGAAGTTCAACCATGTTGGCTGGGTTTAAACACAGTTTCCCTGGGCAGCGTAGAAAAGGATGAGCCATATTCTAAATGCTTTACAAATCCACGCTATGGTCTAGCACCCCTAGGCCAGGGAAAGTGCATTAGCACCTTGCAAGCAAGAATTGGGTTGTGGTGTTTACCTCACTATTGTCTCCCGGGAGGCCAAGATATGGAGAGTGGGAGGATCTCACATAGGGATGGACCCTGCTTGGATGGATCACCCCACAAGTAGAGTCCTGCATGGATACAAAATTGGTATCCACATCCGCAAATATGGTCTGCGGATATAAAGTGGATTTCTACAGATTTGCAGGGCTATACCCACCGGGTCCCAGGATGGGGAGGGACCCTTGAATGGGGGAGAGGCTGCAATGAGGATGGTCAGGTTTAGACACTGTTGTTGTGGTTTGAAGCTTAACACAGGTCAGGCCTAAACTAGGGGCTGGAGCAAGAAGTGGTCATGCTCCAGGTACCACTTGCCCCTCCTGACTGTTGCCCAATGGGTACTTTGGGCCAGTTACGGAGGCAGCCTCTCCCTTCTGACTGAGAACGGTGGAGCATTATTTTCTGTCCATGTTCCTTTCCCATAGGGGAAAAGAGGAGACTGTATTTTCAAACCAAATAGCAAATGTGCACTTTCCTCCTCCGCCTCTGAAATCCGAACTGAATTTCTCTGTCATCACCCTCTCCGGCTGATTATATCAATGTAATTGTTTAGATTTGGTCCTCTGGGACTTTCCCTAGTATGTCGTAGGTTGGAAACAACGTCTTAGATTCCAATAAATTAAAAAAAAATGTAGCCCTGGTGAATAAATAAAGTTGCATCTTCCACCTGAGCACAGTACAGGGTTTGGTTACCAATTCTGTAAGTAACCAGGGTGCATTGCTGGCAGATCCTCGCTTTGCTTTTGCTTTTTAAGCAGAAGTACTAGCCTAAGACCTCTCCTTTGCCTTTTTGGCACCAGGGTTCTGCCCAGGAAAGCGGAGATGCAGAACTATGTTCCAGCACCTAGAGGTGCTGGGGCACCTAGAGATCCTACCCATGTTCATGTGAGTGGAGAGCATTTAACCCCGTGCAGGGCTGGGCCTCTGGGGAGCAGGAGCTCAGATTAGGCACTTGTTGTGTCCCCTCTGACAGCCCCCGCTATTTAGAATGTGTGCGACTCTGAACCACAGCCCTGCTCACTAATCCCAATCTTTTACCTAGCGCCTTTCAAAGTGCTTTCCAAAGGACATCAGTAGCATTGTCTCCATTTTATGGATAGGGAACCCGAGGCACAGAACTGGGAGGTGAATTGTCCAAGGTCACCAACTGAGCTGGGAACAGAACCCAGCTCTCCTGAGTCGCAGGCAAGTGTTCTGTTCACTAAGCCACACTGTTTCCAGTTAAGGACGATGGTGCTCCAGCCCTTAACCATCCACTTTTGTCCACAGAGCAGGTACAAGGTGGGCAGTGGCTGGGCAAGCTTCCCTCCCCCCCACCTCAACCCTGATCGGGAGGGGCCATTTCTAGAGGGTGAGAAGGTAGTTGGGTCTTCACCCCCTGCTAACTTGGTGCCAGGAGGGGTCAATTGTGGTCACCACCTATTTAGTGAGAATTAGCCCCGAGACCAGTTTGTTGGGCATAGGCCATTGCACCACCATCAATTAGGAGATTCCATAATCCCATGGGCCAGCCATTCGAGCCATCCAGCCACCCTTCTTTTAAATAAAGTTTGACGGCTTTACTCTACTGCCACCATTCAACCAGGGGCCGGCCTTCAAAGGCGAATGAGAACACTTGAGCCGGGGGTGTTGGTTCTCCTTCGGCACACAAACCCAAGTGCTGTGTTCTGCAGCCGCGTTACCAGAGGGCCGGGGCCGTGCCCCGGATAAAGCCGCTCTTTGGCTTCTCACTCTTTTAAGAATGAACTGAAAGGCAGGGTGTGAACGAGACCGCGGTCTGAACCGGATGCCACCCTCCAGGGCCTGTCTTCAGCTCTCTGATCTCTGCATTGTGCTTGGAAAATAGTCCTTTAAGCAGAGCAACTGTTTCACAAAGGCAGCCTTGCCTTATCTCGGTGACTTCCTTGGGCCTCCTATTCCGAGGGATGTCTCCAGCGCAGCAGCTCGCTAATGCTAGCCCTGTAGATTTAGAGCAGTGTGATATCAGAATAAACACCTTTTCTGCTGCTGGTTCGAGGCACTGATACATCTCAGGCTTTTAAAATTGCAAAGCCCCAGCCTCCTGTGTTTAATTTGGCTTATTCTGAACTCTCGCAGCTAATTTAATTGTGCAAGGCAGCTGGGGATGCAGGGGAAAGGAGTGGCTACAGGTGCGTGACTATAAGAAAGCCCAGCGGCATGGTGTGTACGGCAGCTCTTCGCCTCTGGGGCTCGCAGCTGTAAAAGTTTGCAAGCGGAGGTTTAATCTCTATTACTTTACCATCCTGCGCCTGTCAATCTGTGCTGACGAGAAGCCCAGGCCTGGAACAGCCTGTCGATAGCCAGCTGGCGTCTTGGCAGATGTGCCGAGAGAAACCGAAGCGGAACCGGTCTGATTGATGCGGCAGCAAAGGGCTGGAACGCTGACAGAAAAATGCTTTACTGCTCTATTCTCAGCACCATTTGAGATTATGTGGAACATCTCTGTGGGGAAAAGTTCTCTGGACTCGGCAAGAGTCCTCAATCGTGAGTCACTGGTACGACAGTGCATGATGTAGCATACCTCAGAACTCACCAGGAACGTGTCTATATAGCAACTATACAAGGAGGGTCCCTCAGAGATGGGCCTTGCCTGGAACGTCCCTTTTTCCCTCACTCGACCTCCCCAAAAATCTTCCTCTTTCAGTCTTTATGAGAGCTACGAGTTCTCAGCATCTCCGGAAATCCAGTAGGCTTCTAAAAATCTCAGTACAAGGCACACAGACTTCCGAAAAACACGTGGACTCTACAGAGTGTAGGTTAACCAGTCCCTAACTACTGTCCAACACACAAGTGACCCAGCAACAGCTACTGGGAGAATGGGACAAACTCATAGATTTAGTGTGGTCTTTGCACCATGGGTGGGGACTACACTAGATGATGAAATGTCTGATACAGCTTCTGGCAGGAGGATGGATTCAATGTTGCAACGGATCCTTTGCATCCTTAACTTCTAGGTTCCTCAAGCATAGGCCATGGGTTATCTCCCTGAAGTGGCCTTTGTCTTATGACATGTCAACCTCCCAACCAAGGAGACCCAGTCTGAGGCTTTGCAGGTGTCTGCTGATTGGATGTCAAACTGAAGAGCAAAGGCTATTCCACACTCCGGGCTCCCAATCATAGAGACGGTAAGAAGCTGGAACAGCCAGAGTGACCAGTCTAAGCGAACTTGGAGACAAGATGCTTTGCTTTATTTTATTTTTTTATATACAGATGAAGGGAATTCTGGATTCCTTCACAGTTATTAGACTAAATAAGAAAATCACTTCAGTATATACGAAAATAGTCCCGGAACTGTATTGAATAATGGATGCCTCGTTGGATGGATTTCTGTGTGGTATCAGAATAAACAAGGCCTGTGTGGACCCCACAGTTCTGCTTTTCTTATGCCAAGGTGCCAAATTCTGATCTGGGCAGTAGGGCAGAGTTTCCTCCTCAGCTCACCAAATGCTGCTCGGTGGTGACTATTTACCAGATAGGACAGTGAATGGGTTTGGCCGGTTCCGTGCCCCCTCCTACTATCCGTTTAATGGGTTCTTCCTGTCACGCTTCTGGGCAGAAACCCTATTCCCTCTCCAGAGACTAGAGAGTTAACTACTTTCCTTTAGCAAACCTTGTTAAAATCCTGCTCCTTATCTTTCCGCATTGCTCTGCTTAGCAAGGAAGATAAGGAGACACAGCTAGAGGAGAGCTTTACCCTATTCAGCTGATCACTGAAGCAGAAAGCAGGCAACAGAATGGCTGGCTACAGATCAAGAATCTCAGAGGAAGTCTCCAGCTGCAAAGGCTTCCAGCATCTCAGGCACCTGGTTACTCTGACACAAGACAGAGGGTATCTGTCTTAACACCGCCGAGTCCAGTTCAGAGCGGACCCCAATATACTGCTATGTGGGAAACAGGAAAGAACACCCTAGACAACCAGCAATTAAGAAAAAGTCCCCTTTATCTGCCACGCTTCTCCAGCCGAGAGACAAGCCCCTTCCCTAGGTGCCCGGATCACAACTCGTCATGGGGCGTTTTTGCTACAATCATTAGTTTGGACAGTTCGGAACGGAACTTCCCTTCTTTGTGAGCCACTAGAATGAGAGAAAACACAACAGGGAGTAAATGGACGATGAAGCATCAACTATGAGAACCGCCGGTTCCTTCCAAGAGCTCGAGAGGGCAAATCAAAAACTGAACTGCACTGATCACCTACATGTGGAGTGTAGTTGCAGCGTTTCTCAAATGCAGCCACCGTGGCGGGGCAGAGGGGAGGCAAGCTCTGGTCCCAGGGCTTTGGGCTCCCCCGACCCACTGCCATTGCCCCTGGCCCCCCGCTGCCTCAACCCCTCCATCCAGGGCTTAATTTGTCCCCAGGCTTGACAGGGCTGAGTAAGTCTGCTGTGAAAAGCGATACTTGTATGCTTGTTAATATCACTTTTCACAACAGACTTACTAGCTGGCAATAAATAGATTGTAATTATTTGTTTTACCTAAAGCTAATTAAGTGTTTTAGGAAAAAGTGTGAGCACGGCCACCAGGAAGGGTTGGTGGCCACACTCTGAGGCCACCAAAATATTTGGCCGGAGAACCCCCCACCTTAGAGGCTTATTAATAAAGTCATTGTCCCCCCTGCACACACATAGTGTGGTAACACTATGGGATCCAGGAAGGGTTCAGGGCCCCATTTTGTTAGGTGCCGTACAGCCAAGCACCAAAAAGTCAGTTCCTACCCCAACGAGCTCACAATCCACGGTTACCATTAATACACCACCTGTGATTCGGAATCATCCAGGGCACAGGTGCCTTTCTATCCATCCCCTATTAGACTGCCAAGCTCCAGACATGGATCAAAATATACCACAACCATCCACCTGGGTAGTGTATGTAGTTTTTCCATACTTCTGTTGCACATTTGAATCTAGTCTAAATGCCCCTTTCCCCGGGATATACAGAGCTCTCTCTCTCTCTCTCTCTCTCATGTTGGATAAGTGACCTCATCTCCCTCACGAGTCACCCTCTGCTCTTTCGATAGCTACATACCTGTGGTTTCGGTGATTTCAAATTCCTCCGCCTTTAAGGGGACGTCGCTCTGTCCACCCGTCGCAGCTTGGGACTGAAATGGGAAAGAAGAATTTTTACCCTGTGAGCTAATCCAGAGAGCTTCCATGTTAAACAAAATAATAATCTGGCTCTACTGCCAAAGATCGCTTTGGCTCCTGTAGCTTGTAACAACTGGGGTCAAGGGATTAAATCAGCAAAGGAAATTTAGAGGCCAATCTCTGGGAATTTATCCTAGTTCCTCTTAACTTTATTTCCCTGGGGAGGTGCTGGGAAGGCTCATCATTTGAGACGTTTAGAACTGGATAGGGCAAAGCGTTGCAGAATAGCATGCAGGAGGACAATTCTGCACTGGCCAGGAGTACGGTTTGAGGAATGGACTGGACCATGGGGGTCATAAAGAGGTTCCATGGGGTTATAAGCTCCCTTCCTTTTTTAATGGCTACATAAACCGGGGGAGGAGGGGAAAATTTTGTTTCTGTTGGAACATGGGGTTCCAGTATAGAAGAAGCTATGAACCACAGAACTAAAAAGTCTTTTCTCTCTCATTTCTGTGGTTCTCTAGAAACCTTTTGTATCTTTTAACGGGTCCAACAGAAGCTTGACACAC